TGCGCGCGGGCGTCGTGATGAGGCGGGTGGCGAAGGAGGAGCGTGTGTGTACCACTCCTCTTTCCAAGCTCCCAATGGCAAGTGGTAGAGCAGCCCTTATAAAGGGGTCTCAACTCTCCTCAATTAGCAAGGTGGGACTAAACTTCCCACCACCTGCCATATTATACATGGGCCTCAAGATTAACCAGGAATCATTGTTCTTCCGGGATTTGAACTTGTTCTCCAGGCGCTTCAGAATAATTTGTTTTCACAACACCATTACCCTCATCCTCGACAATAATATTGTGCAAAATAACACAACATGTCATGAGCCGCCACAAAGTTTCTGATTCTCACATCATTGCAGCCCCACTAACAATTCCTCAATGGGCTTGAAGCACTCCGAATGTCCTCTCCACATCCTTCGTAGTTGCTTCCTGCATTGTTGCAAAGTGGCTTTGTTTCCTTCCCAGTGGTTCCGATACGGTCTTCACAAACACCTCCCACTGAGGATAGATTTCATCGGCGAGATAGTATCCCATGTTGTAGTCACGGCCGTTGACGTGTAGTTGCACGACGGTGATTCCCCATTGCAAAGTCTCATGAACACCGGAGATCGTTGAAGCACGTTGATGTCGTTGGGAGAACCTAGCATTCCAAAGAATGCATGCCAAATCCATAAGTCATTTTATGCCGCCGCTTCTAGTATGATGTTGGCCTGTTTGGTGTGGTAGTGATACATTTCGGGCAAACCATTGTGGCAGTTCCACCACTGCTAGTGCATGTAATCAATTGATCCGAGCATTCCTGGAAACCCTCAGGCCTCTCCAATAGACAGCAACTTCTCCGTCTCCTACACATTTGGTTCTCTCAAATACTTTGCTCCAAACACATGCACCACAACATGGGCTAACTTGTCAGTAGTGTTCAGGCATGTGCTCTCCCCCATCCTGACCATCTCACCAACAACATCTGCAGCAGTACCAAGTGCAAGCATCCTCAGAGCAGCTATGCACTTCCTCGTAGCATAGAAAGAAAGTTGATCGCAGCAATCCCTTGTGAGCCTCCACTCCCTTCACAATGCGCAGAAACAATGGTTTTCGCATGCGAAAACGACGACGAAACCATTGATCATCCAGGAAAGTTGGGTTCATAGCAAAATAGTCCTTCAGCAGTAGCCGTGCTCCGGACACCATATGTCAATTGATCACTCTTCTTCCTTTGATTGAGCCCTTGAAGTTGAGAATATGCTCCACTTGCCAGTCCATTTCCTCTTGCATGCTCATGAGCATGATCATATCCACTTGTTCGTCCAAGAATCGAAGAAATCATCCTGAATCACTTGATCAAGCTCCATCATTCCACACTCCTCGTCGGACAAAGCATTGGAATTCATCTTTTCCCCTAAAAAACACAAAAAACTAGGTCGGAAAATGTGTCAAACACATAAAGTGCAAGGGGTAGCTCGGGAGTTGCTGGACGTACCAGGGTGGCGTCCAGGCCGGCGACGACGTCCCGACGGCAAGGACAATAGACATGAGTGTTGTGCCAGTGCTGGCAGCACAGACGATCGGAACGGCAGCGGAGCACGAGCGACGGCGGAGCCGCGAGACGGGCCACACATAGGTAGAAGAAGAGAGGAGAGAGCAATTGGATTTGGTAGGCTGAGAGGGTGGATTTGATGCAATTTGCCGGTCCCTGGCTAGGCCGTCTGCGCCAACGTTTGAGGTGGCAATGGGGTGCGCGGCTGCAGATGTCAAATTGTGCTAATGTGTCGTCAGTGGGTCAAAACATGAAAGAAAAAAAAAACTACCCCGCATAACAAAAGATTCACCTCACGCAAGAGTGACGTGCAGCATGCACCCACACAGTACAATCCACCCACCATTGTCTGCCGTGGAGTAATTTCCCTTCGTCCGCTAGCGAGTGGGTTGTAGCCTAGATTTTCAAAGCGCCCAGAAGAGGCCAGCAGGGAAGCAGCAGCACGGCAGCAGGAGAGGACGACGCAAACTTTTGTTTTGTTGCGGCGTCGTCGTCGCGTTGCGCGAGGCCGGACACGCGCGCCTTAAATTATTCCACCTTCCCTGCGCCTCGCGACAAGGCTGGCGGGGTTCGCTCGACTTATTGCGCGCGCCAAAAAGCCACGGCCCATCGTCGTGGTTCGTAGTACTACTGCTACTAGAAAAAAGTCTCTCCTTCTCCCAGAGTAGCAGCGCCGATGCGGCGGTGCGAGACGCTGAAGCCTGCACGCACCAATTCGAGCAAAAACCATGGCAACGCCGCCGGTTTTCTCGTTAGTGCCGTGCCGTGCTTAGGCCAACTCCAACGCATCATCCGTCTGATCTGTGTATGTGCGTTTGGCCTAAACGGACAGACGGCACGGTCTAACATTTGACCGGATCCTCATTGCCCGTTTGGCGTCCGGCTGCCTCATTTCCGGCACAGACCTGCGTCCGGTTTGTGTCCACACGAATGTCGAATAGATGTCCTCTGTGTCCTCTCGGGTCCACGTGGTAGCCGCCCACCTATCTCCCACCGTTCACATTTACGTCGCAAGCCAGGCGGACCCGCCTGATAGCCATCCTGGCCGAGCGATCGCCGTCCTTTTTAATGTGGAAGCCGTGGACCGGTGGGAGTCCGCACTTCCACTCCCGGCGATGCGTGCCCCCTCGAGCCCCGACAACTAAACCATAGCCCGCCGCTCCTCCACATCCCCGCCAGCAACAATGATGGGCCGCTAGTTCTCCGACCGCAAGACGAGGCACCGCCACGAGGTTGGGGCGCCGTCCGGTCGCCGTCGCCGCTCCACCACTCCACCTGCACCTCCACCACTCGCATTCCATATTTCACCGGACGGGGCCCGACCTCGGATGCGGCCGTACGTCTAGGCGGAGATCTGCAAGAGGTGCAAGGAGATGCGCACGCCGCTGCCGTGGAGCGACGTGCCCATCCCCAACAGCAGGCACCTCTCGCCTGGATCGGGTGCCCATTCCCCCAACCCCGGCGAGCGGCAGCGCCCGCCTACTGCCGAACCTCATCGATGACCGGAGGTACACCATCGGCTCTCCGCTCTGGGATACTTGGCTAGCGACAAGCACGAAATCCGCCCACAATTTCTTTGCCAGCCATCCTCCGAGCCCGTCGCGGGCGCGCTCCCAGCCTGCCCTAGCCCCGCGGGGCGCAGGCTGGTTCGCGTCTTGACTCCTACGCCGTCGTCGTCCCCGCCACCACCAACGCCGATGACGACCGAGGAGGAGGAGAACCTCAAGAGGAGGACTCCCTTCACACCCACGACGAGCGCCAAAGGCAGGGCCTCGAGGAGATGATGGTCCTGTCAGCGGCCGACGATGTCACCTTCCCAGAGCTGGACGCCTACGTCATGGAGGTGGACGTCCGGGCTGAGTCGCCGAGGGAGGAGGTGCCGACGGGATGGAACCCGGCCTTAGTCGGGCAGTCCTGGACGTGGACGGAGACCGTGTCGTGCACGCCTGAGGTGGACGCTGGCATGTGGTCACCTTCCCCGCCACTGGAGTGGTTGTGCAGGCGCCACTGCAGGCGCCACAGCAGACGCCTTCGCCCTGGCAGGGGCCGCCGGCCCACCTCTGGCAGCCACCTCCATACGTCGACCTCACCGGCGACGACGACGGGTAGGTCGGCGGCTACGGCAGACGACCACGGTATTGACGGCGATGGCCCTTATCTTTTTCTTAATGTATTTTAAGTTTTTATTTACACTAATATGGTGAACTTGGCTACTGCGGACATTTTTGTGTTAAATTTGAAGTCTGAATAAACAGATAGTTTGGGACGGGGCGGGCCGGTACGGTACACTGACGGGCGCACGAGTGCAGGCGGGTGAGCGTGTCCATTTTTCTGTCCCAAACAGATAAAATCCTATTTGAGGTCGTGCGTTCAAGTTGCCTGTAATGCAGTTGAGGTAATGAGAAGAACTCCAAGCAAACGGCGTTGGAGTTGCCCGTAGCGCAGTTGAGGGAACGAGAAGAACTCCAAGCAAACGAATGGTCCAGATGAAAATCCCGCGGATGGATCCAACCATGGCCACCTGTTGCCTTGTGCACAAGGACGGACAAGACGGGGAACCAAAGCATAGATGCAACTCCTCCACTGTGCAGTGCACTAATTGGAGAACAGTGGCATGCTCGTGTCCACTCCAGCTCCAAGATGGCTCGTGAGCCGATACCATCGCACACTTGTCAAAATATACGTATGCCCAGCCAGCAGGATCAGTTTTGGATGAGCCATCGACAAGGACGGCTCAGCATGTTTTACATCTAAAAAGTAGTATGAAAAATCATGCGTGAACTGGAAACATAGCGGAAGGTCCCCAGAGGTGCAGTACGTGCCCTGAAAGTTCAGTCGTTCAGACAACGCAAGCAACAAATTTCTCCCCTTAACCCGACAATTACGTAGATTTCAACAAAGTTAACAAGACGTAAGCGTTGGATCCGACCAGAGGCATCAACTGGCGTCCCGTAATCACCTTCTTTCGATGAAAACAAAGTTCTCAATCAGCCGTCTTGTGAGTCATGCGGCTCACAATTAGCCTTACCTAACGATTTGCATCTGGGTTTATCCCCTTTTCACCAAATGCAACCTGCCCTCTTAGGCACGAACGATTCGATCGAATGGAAATATAGATTGACAATTAGATAGATAGATAAACCACCAGACGATCCAATCCGCATGGATCGACCACTTCATCATTCCTGCTGAAATCTGTGCACTGATCCGAACCAACAGGGGAAGGGACACACACACACACACACACGAGCAGTATGGACAGACACACGGAGCATGCGTACGCATGCAGCAAGTTTGGTCCAAAACAAGCAGCGCATGCATATGCATGCCCCAGGTTCAGTCTACAACAAACTAAACAAAACAATCCGAAGAAGAAATGGAATTTTAGATGTGATGATGAAGATGAAACGCCTAGCTAGCTAGCTAATGTCCATGGGTGGTGGTGGTACTAGTAGTGGTGACATCGACAGGGCCGGCGGTCAGTCGAAGCGGCGGCCGCGCCAGGCGGAGACGGAGAAGAGGGCGCGCTCCTGCCAGCACAGGAAGAAGGTGCCCTTCTCCTCGCGTACCTTGAAGCCGTCGCACCCCAGCCCCTGCGCCGCCCGCCGGGCCTGCAGCAGCGCGTAGTAGCTGAGGGGCACGCGGCCGAAGCCGGCGCCCTCCATGCGCGCCGCCCACCGGTCCAGCCGCTCGTGCCGCTCGCGGCGCTCCGCGCCGTCGCAGGCCACGATGTTCTTGATCTCCTCGCCCAGGAGCCACCGCTCGACGCGCGCGCGCTCCACCGACCCGCGCGCCGCGCCCACCTCCAGGCAGTCGAACAGCGCCGCGTAGTAGTTGAGCGCCTCCACGAACCGCTCCGTCAGCCCCGGCGTGTTGTGGCTCGCCTCCTGCTCCGCCACCACCATCACCTTGGGCGACAGCCCCCACAGCGCGCCCAGGAACGCGTCCGCCCGCGAGGTGGACGGGGACAGCAGCCCGGAGGAGTCCGGGCTGCTCTTCCTGCGCCGCTCCTTGTCGGCGGTCGGGGCGGCGGGGGTGTCGTCGTCGGTGGCGAGCAGGCGGTGGAGCTGCAGGCTGGAGCTGATGGCCAGCGCCTCGCCGGTCTTCACGCGGAGGGACTCCACGTCCAGCGCGTCCAGGCGGGACACCACGGGGTTGAACTGGAACGGCACGTCCAGCCGCTCCGCCTCCTTGGTGAGCGCCATGGCCGTCCGCGAGAGCAGGTCCTTGTGCTCGTGCACGGCGGTGAGGCGGAAGTGCGGCGGGCCCTCGGGACGCGCGGCGAGGAGGTGGAGCAGCTCGAGCCACTGCGTGGCGTCGGCGCCGCCGAGGTCGATGACGTGCACGATCTTCTCCGACTCCATGGCCTCGAGGATCGCCTGGTTGGCCGCTGCGCCGGCGAGGCGGAGGAAGGGGCAGAGGTCGAAGAAGTGCCTGCGCGCGACGGCGACCTCGGCCGGCGTGGGGCCCGCGCGGGGCAGGAGCAGCGCCCGGCACAGCCCGGGCCACGCACGGAGCGCGCGCCGGGCCAGCGCCTCCGCGAAGGCGGCCGCGACGCGCTGCATGGCGTCGCCGTCGGGCGCGGCGAGCGTGGCGATGTGCTCGAGCGCGGCGTTGGCGGCGTCGAGCCGGCCGGACGACGCCGCGGCGGCGCAGTTGAGCAGGAGGTGGATGAGGCAGAGGCCGCGCTCGTCGGAGCGGAGCTCCCGAAGCATCCAGGGCGGCGTGGCGCCGGCGCCCGCGGCGCCGGCTCCCGGGTGCGGGTGGAGCGGCATGTTTGAGAAGTTCTGCAGCGGGGAGGACGTGACCGACGAGGAGGAGCCTTCGTCCTGGTGGACCATCAGCCTGGCCAGCGCTGCCGCCCGCTCTGCTCGGCGATGCCGCTCGGTTCACGAAGCTAGTAGCAAAGTCGCTTCGTTTCCGTGTCTATCTATCTATCTATCTATCTCTCCGATGCCGGCCGTCGCGTGGTGGACGACGGACGATTTATACGGTGGCCGTGGCTCAGAGGTTTTGGCTCGCTGCGGAAGGCTGCGTGCTGCGTGGCGCAAAGGAGAAATCCAATTAACAAACCGAGGCAGCAGGCTTAAATAGACGGGTGTGGAGCAGGCCAAGCAGACGGAGAGGAGCGGGAGGACACGGCAGGGCAGGGCAGGGAAGAGAAGGAGACAAGCAGAGAGGAACAAAGGGCAGAGGTCCAAGAGGACGGCAACAAGGGGCAATGGCTCGAGGAACAAGAATACAATTCACTCGGGTCAGAGCGAGGAGCGGAGCGGACAAAGGGGAAATCAGGGCCTATTATTTCTGCACGCGCTCGTCGGGCATGCACGCATGGATC